TGACGGAAGCCAGCCGTCACAAATGGCGCAGTTTAGCATAAAATAAAGACACAGAGAGCCAGCAATATTTTCAGGATGGTATGAGCAGCTCCTTTCGAACTTCTCTCCTCTCCGGTATCTTTTATTATCCTTTGTTCTCTCCTGTCGCATGGCCGTTTGCCAATGTCTCATGTTACCTACATCCGGTCATGGCTTTAACCCGCCATCGCCATATAAGGTTATGCACTTAATACACTGCAAGGCACGGACATGCAGGTCACTGAGGTCAGCGAGGCACCAGGTGGCACTACAAGCCTTTGCCATGACTTCATGGCTCCCACATGCCCTCTTTCTTTATTTTATATCAGAGTTATATATGTCATTACCAATACGGTTATATCGAGTGCAATAGGCAACTCTTGTGAGGCCAGAAGCAGGCCGCTGACGGGAGAACCATGCAGTACATATAGAGGTTAAAGAAGGAATACATTGTATACAGCAACACAAAATAATGCAAATAACTACTATAATGATCACTAAAATCAATAAATGTTGAAGCCAACTTCCATCCGGAAGCCAAGAATATAAGAATTCTGATTCCAAGCTGCATGGTAGGCTTCCTTTCTAGTTTATTAGCCATGCACTGGTGTCACTCCTATAGCACTGAGATTGGTCACTGGATGTTCCTGTAAGAGAACAAGAGCTATTAAAAGTGAAATTCAATGTGTATTGACAGTTTGGATATATGCCCCATGATTCTTTCCCCTCTTTAATTTGAAAACAAATGGGGGCAGGCTCATGGAGGGTCAATTGTACTGGAGGCCAAAAAGTTTGCTTAGGGGATATAATATTAGTAAATTGAAAAGATCCATTGACAGGCACCCCATGAAGCATTATGCCGGAATGACTGGCAAAGGGGGGCATGTGCATACACAACCAACATTTAGAAGCATGTAATAAACCGGTAAACATAATCATATCTTGTACAAAAATATTATCCCTCCATATCTTATGATAATTTTCTCCCCTAAAAGTCTTATTCAACAACGCTGTTCTTCTAGTTCAAGAGTGGCTGAGCCGTGGATACTGCCAGCCAGAGTAGGAAGCAGGCGACAGCTGCTTGCCAGCCGATAAGGTGAATTATGGTGGTTTCAACTGGACTGGGTCGTCTGCTTCTCTTCCTTGTATAACGGTGCAGCAAAGGATGGCAAGGCAAATGGTGAGGAAGGCAAACACTGCCAGATGCAGCTCATGTGCAGCACCTCTAGGTGGCGCATGCGGAAAGGTTTCAATGCTTCACCCACAAAATGTTGACAAAGTGTAGGGGAGTTCCGCATGCCCTGAGGCAGGACAACCCACTGATATCGCTGGGTGGGCTGCGAATTGTTATATACTGGCAATGTAAAAGCAAACCATTCCCTGTCTGCTGGAGCCAGTGGGATGAAGATGGTTCAATGTGGCCGAAAGTCAATTGTTCAAAAATAAGCTGTTCAGAACCAAGCTGGTGCCGCTGCTGCGGATTTTTCTTTTGGTAGAGGCCACTGTTCTACCCACACTGGGGTATCGGTGATCCTGGTTTGCCACACTGGAAACAAGTTGTATCGGTGGCTACAGGCTGGTTTTCATTTAGCGCTGCTGCCAGCAGATGAGCCTTGTGGGTGGCTGTACCTACAGACTGACAAATGCGAAGCATGGCTGCTGTGTCTGTGGCAGGATTGTGTATTATCGGTTGTAACGCAACCTTACAATCCTCATTGGCATTTTCAAAGGCCAGTTGTTTGATAATTATTTGTTTGGCTTCAGGATTTTCAATTTGGCGACTCACTGCTGTAAGCAGCCTGTCCATAAAGGAAGAATATGATTCTCTTGCCTCTTGCCTGATTGAACCCCACCTTGATTGAATACTGGGTTCTGGGATTTTTCTCATTGCTTGTTTAGCAGCAAGAGCAGTGTCCCTCAATAAGATTTGCAGCAGTGTGGCTTGCACTGAAGCCTGAACGAAGGGACCACGCCCCATCATGGCATCTATGACGTCTGTGAGGGTAATATTTGGATTATTTCCTCTGATTTGTTGTAACAAAGCTGGAGCATAAGCACGGCAGGCAGTTTCCCATTCGTGGGCAAACAAAACACCAGCTGATGGGGGTAACACTGTATGGGTCAAAAGCTTGATGTCCTCTGGAACCAAGAGCTGGGCTAATGTGGCTTCTAAAAGCGCCTGCGTATATGGGGCTTGGAGTCCATTGGTCTTTACTGACTGCTGCAGCTCTTTCAAGATCTTAAAGTCAAAAGGTTGGTGTTGGGCTTGAGATCCTGCTGGAGCGCCAGCAGGGGGGCACAATAACAGGGAATGCCATAGTATCCTGAATTAAGGAACAGGCAAGGACTGCACGTTGAAAAGGGGTAGCTGGTTCTGCCGCTGAAAGAGTAGGATCATTGCCAGCCAGACCACGGTATTTTTGCAGGATTGGGTCCTCTGGTGAGGAACTGTAGTCCGGAGGTTTGGGGTCTGGGGCTGCTGGCAAGGCAAGTATCGGAACAGACGCTAACACAGCAGGCTGGACTAAGGAAGCTGGAGGTTGTGTTGGCAATGCAGCCATGGATATATTTTTTGGTGATAAAGAGTCCATGGCGTAACGAACCTTGCACCATGCATTTAGAATCCGAATACCAATGCTGGGGTGCCCATGAAAATGTGCACCAATCTTGTCCCAGTGTTTTAATTCCCAAGTCCCATCTGCAGGAAACCAGGGGCAATGCTCATCAATGGCCAGAATAAGCTGTATCAAATCACCCTCCGGAACTTCCAATTTGTTGGAGGAGAGGAGAAATTTTAAGTCTTTTAAAAATTTCTGTTGGGGAGTAGACAAAGAGCTGCCCATTTTTCTAAAATTGAGATAAAAGAGGGATCGAACTCACCGGGGATCCGAAGATGATTAGCGCTTGAAACCCTTGCCGGGCGTGGTGAGTCGATGATATCCGTTGCGTGGATCGAAAAACCTCACAAGGTTTTCTTTTAAAAGCCTCAGACGTATTCTTTTAGTCAGCCTCACACAGGGGGCACCACTTGACGGAAGCCAGCCGTCACAAATGGCACAGTTTAGCATAAAATAAAGACACAGAGAGCCAGCAATATTTTCAGGATGGTATGAGCAGCTCCTTTCGAACTTCTCTCCTCTCCGGTATCTTTTATTATCCTTTGTTCTCTCCTGTCGCATGGCCGTTTGCCAATGTCTCATGTTACCTACATCCGGTCATGGCTTTAACCCGCCCATCGCCATATAAGGTTATGCACTTAATACACTGCAAGGCACGGACATGCAGGTCACTGAGGTCAGCGAGGCACCAGGTGGCGCTACAAGCCTTTGCCATGACTTCATGGCTCCCACATGCTAGCACACCCCTCACAGCCACAATTCCCAGCAGCTCTAACAAAGGATGGTTCACAGAATTCTCTGGGAGAAGCCATGGCTGGTGAAGCAGTATAAGAAGTGTGTTAAATGTGTGGTGTGGTTGCTAATTTTTAAGTCAGTCTTAAAAGCCTCTCTCTCTCTTGAAACACTTCCTCTTAAAAGCTGCTATCTTAGCATTGGTTATTTTAGTATTGACAGTTATGTTGGTTGGGTTGTAATTTATATTGATATTTGTAAACCATTCCAGCTGGCCTAGGTTTTTAAGATTGCTAGCATCATTGTTGTTGTCATGTTTATTTTATATGGGTCATATTCAACTGTCCAGTTCTGGTAGCAAAAGCAAGTGCATGGGGCTTCTCCTCTCACACATTCCTTTCAACTCCACCAAATCTGCTCTGGAGAGTTAGGAGAACCCTTAAAAGAGAGGGAAGGGAGAGGAAAGAGGAGTTCATTCTGGTGGGCAGGCAGAAAGGCTTCCACTGATGGAACAATCTCCTTAATACTATGTTGAATTTTATCCCATCCAGGGCCGTCTTACCCATAGGTGCTAGGGGTGCAGGGCACCCAGGCACTGGGCTCTCAGAGGTGCCAGGCCAAGAGTCCAGGGCCCGAGAGTTGAGTCCAGGGAAGAGCCCGCCTGTCGATCGGAGCGCCGCAGCAGGCTCTTCTGCTGCGGGCGGCTCTGCGCTGCGAGTTGGGGGGCAACCGAGCCAGTGAGACGCTGAAGTGGCCTTCCAACTCTGCCCTCCTACGCGCCTGGGACTGGGCAACTGGGGGGGCTGGGCGGATCTTTGCACCCCAGCGCTGCATATGCTTACGACAGCCCTGACCCTATCTGTACTGTTTCATTATGTTATGAGTTGTTCTGGCTTTGCCCAGAAGTGCAGCACACAAGATACTTTAAAAATAAAAATAAATTAAACACTTCTTTAAATAGCAGCACACCGGGCCTGTTTCCCCATCCATGCAAGATAAAATTATTTTGCATATTTAGAATGTTGAGCCAAATTTGTATTTGTTAAAACAGGCTTCAAAATAAATGTGACTATATTGAAGCTTTTTTTCTTCAAATAAAATGGTCATCTATTTCATAGATAGAAACAGCACACCAGCTGCTCAACAAATCTATTCCTTGTTCATGAGCCAAAGTAAAAACAATGTTTTGCTTGTTCTCTTCTGCAACAATTTTTAGATTTTCTTCTTCATGTCACATGTGATTTTTAGGACAGATGTCTACAGGTTTCCTTAGGGTTTTTGTGTGTGTTTTGTTATTATTATTTTTTTAAAAAAAAAAATACCTTTCTTATATATTTTGCTTCTACAAACTAATACAAGGAGAATATAGAATTAGCAGGCAATATAATTTTATAACACCTTGAAATATTTTTTTATTTAACAAAATGTAAATACCACCTGATTGCAGTAACACCTCAAAGAGGTTTGGAAAAAGAAACTCTTTAAAATTATCAGTAAAAACAGTTAAAAGTGGGCATTTAAAAACATTCAAAACTCATTAAACTTATACAATAAGCTAAAGTCAGATTTAAACACATGTAACTTCTACATGTCCGGATAGGTATGCTTTAACAAAAATGCTTTAAGTAGGTGCCAAAAAGAGTACAGTGATGGCACCAGCCTGATGTCAGTAGAAGAGTTATGAGAAACAGAGGAATTATGAGTGGAAATTACCGGTATATATAATATATCACTATGTTATGCATGTCCATATGTGCTCTCATGGTGAACAGTTGGTGAATACAGTATTTGAGTTTTACTGTACACAGTATCGAAATGCACACAGTAATATTGTGTATTATTTCATTCATAATAATGTACCACCACTGACATCTGCAAGGGATGAAGGTAACAAGACCCTTCCTGTGATGATTTAAGCTGGTCACAAGCCAGCTCTCTCAGGAAGGTGGCAAGAGCTGCCCTGACTTCCTAACCTAGATGTTGCCTCTGGCTGAAGAGTGCTTCTGGGAAGGGACTGCTCCTCTGAAGTGCAACACAGCCACAAACTACCATGAACACTGGCATGTGCTGGAATTTGCTTTCTCCTCTTCTCTCCTATTCCTTTTTCCTCATGTGCCAAGGATCTTTAGATTGTGAGCCTGAGGAACAGGTGCATCTTATTTTTGTAAGCTGCTTTGAGAGCCTTTCAAGAACAACACACACTTTAATGTTCAAAAAGTTAAAATATGCACAAATGGGCTGTTGGGGTCATATGACGAAAGCTTGCATGCTTTCTTTCTAATAGAAGACAGAAACAACAGGTAATGCAATTCAAAGCATGTTAGAAATAAGCTGCTTATAATTAGAATTAGAAGAGGAGAGCGCAAAATATAGTCTGAAGCTCAACATCAAAAAAACTAATATCATGGCCACTGGTCCCATCACCTCCTGGCAAATAGAAGGGGCAAATAGAAATGGAGGCAGTGAGAGATTTTACTTTCTTGGTCTCCATGATCACTGCGATGGTGACAGCAGCCACGAAATTAAAAGACACCTGCTTCTGGGGAGAAAAGCGATGACAAACCTAGACAGCATCTTAAAAAGCAGAGATATCACCTTGCCGACAAAGGTCCGTATAGTTAAAGCTATTGTTTTCCCAGTAGTGATGTATGGAAGTGAGAGCTGGACCATAAAGAAGGCTGATCACCAAAGAATTGATGCTTTGGAATTATGGTGCTCTTGAGAGTCCCATGGACTGCAAGAAGAGGAGGTTAAGGGGTGATATGATAGCCATGTTCAAATATATAAAAGGATGTCACATAGAGGAGGGAGAAAGGTTGTTTTCTGCTGCTCCAGAGAAGCGGACACGGAGCAATGGATCCAAACTACAAGAAAGAAGATTCCACCTAAACATTAGGAAGAACTTCCTGACAGTAAGAGCTGTTCGACAGTGGAATTTGCTGCCAAGGAGTGTGGTGGAGTCTCCTTCTTTGGAGGTCTTTAAGCAGAGGCTTGACAACCATATGTCAGGAGTGCTCTGATGGTGTTTCCTGCTTGGCAGGGGGTTGGACTCGATGGCCCTTGTGGTCTCTTCCAACTCTATGATTCTATGATTCTATGATTCTATGATTCTATGATTCTAAGATCAAACCTATCCATTCTGAAGGAAATCAGCCCTGAGTGCTCACTGGAAGGACAGATCCTGAAGCTGAGGCTCCAATACTTTAGCCGCCTCATGAGAAGAGAAGACTCCCTGGAAAAGACCCTGATGCTGGGAAAGATTGAGGGCACTAGGAGAAGGGGACGACAGAGGACGAGATGGCTGGATAGTGTTCTCGAAGCTACCAACATGAGTTTGACCAAACTGCGGGAGGCAGTGGAAGACAGGAGTGCCTGGCATGCTCTGGTCCATGGGGTCATGAAGAGTCGGACACAACTAAACGACTAAACAACAACATATTTGGGGGGGCAAGAGAGTGGGGCCCTAAGTTATAGCTTGTTTAGCTTATACGTAAATCTGGCACTATTTGGGCTGAATGTGTGTGGGCTTTTCTACAGATCTCACATCCAGTGATGGCAGTCAGGCATGGAGCAAATCCAGTGGAGATAATCCTTAAGACACACACATAAACAGCATTCATCTTCTACACGGGGCTTCAGCTGCTACAAAGCAAGCTCCATTTGTTGATCTTATGAAAGGAATCCCATATATCGTTGGCTTTCTGTTCACCACATGAACATACATTGTGGCTTGGATGCATAATGAGGCAGCAAATCTGAGTAAATTATGACCAGGTTACATTTTGCAGAGGTCACAAAAAGCCAAAGAGAATGCAATTTTGTCTCCTTGTAATTACTTTTCTCTTCTAAATTACCTCCATACAAGAATGGTGGCTGAAAAGCACCAGGACATCTATTTAAATGAGTTCAATAGCCCTGTTAGTGTACACCAAACATTCTTAATGCACGTTAATGCTGGAAGGAAACTATTTACCTAATCCAAACAACAAGATGTTATAAGAACTGAAGAAGATTCACTGTGCTAATATGTCTGCAGATGATATGTCTGCATAGGCTTTATGGAATGAGTCAAGCAACACATTACATGGTCATTTTTTCCTTTTTTCTTGCTGCATCAATAAAAAAAAATACATGGTCATTGTCATTTGTTCAAAGCATTTTGCACACACTGTTGTAGAAACCATAAGAGTGTTGTGAAGTTAAAAATACATTTCTGGTATTAAATTTTTTCTGCATCTTCATACTAGTGATATTAGTTACTGGTCATGGTGCAGGTATGAAATTTTGTTTTATGCTGTGGCGTTTGCACTCCTAGGTGTGTGACATCATACTGGGTTCATAAGG